TGTTAAATATTGAGAAAAAATGTTCGGTTCATAATTCATAATATTGATAATACGAAGGTTAGGATATTGGCAAGCTAGAAGAATGCGTTTCATACATAATTGTTCAAAAACAAGTACTTTCAAGTGCTGATATATTTGAAGTAATATTTGAGCGCAGAACCAATCAAGTACAGCATCATCAACTGGACAAAATTGAGAGTTCGATGATATAATTGAAAAGTCTAGAAATTTCGTGTGAGCGATATATCTTGCTATTCTATCGAGTCGTTTGTTGACTCCCAATAATGAATAAAGAACATCAATAGGACACAGGTTTTTTATAATAATAAGTATCATTTCATCAGGTAAATCAAGAAAGTGAATAGTTTTATGTTCCATAGTAGATAGATATTAAATGACGTTTCTTTCTTCAATATTCAATTATTTATCCTACGTCTGCTGCCGTCCATGATGTGTATAACATATTGTCCACTGTTATTCAGAAAGTGATTATACATGATTCTCTGTAACTTTCTTTAGAGTGTAATGCACGAGAGTAGAATTGATATACGCGATATAATTAAAAAAAAACAATAAGTGCATGAATGAAATATCAAGAGCAACATAATACTGTGTAAAATTTTATTATTAGTAGTAAAATCAATGTCGTTCTAATGTTTCATCATTACAAAGTACAGTAATTTTACCTATAAAACAGTTGTAAATAAGTTAACACTATTACTGTATATTACATTTAATTTTCTCCATTTCCTTATTTTATATGCACAAAAAGGAAAACTACTCTATTTGGAAAACGAAAATTATCAATAGTTAATCAAATAAAACAGACACTTTAGGTTTCAAAATCAGTTATATTATATAAACTAGAAATACAGCTTTTCAATTACATCACAATAATTAAACAGACTATTTTAGTGCTAATATGGAATACAAGGGTCATCTGCTTAGAGAAAAATCACATATACAGCATTTAAAATTGTATGATTTGAATAGTACGAAGAAGATATGTCTGCTCTTCTATTAAAAATTAGTCTCAATACAGCTAAAGAGTAATTATGAATCAAGTTATCAGACAAGAACATATCAGTGGTATATGCCAAATTATTACTCGAATACGTCGATTATTTTCTTTAGATAACATCCTGAATATACGTACATTTATATGCGAAATTGTCATCGAATCTCAATGGATTACACTTTAATAAGATTTTTAAAACAATTACGTGATGTGAAGAGATGCACATAAATCATTATTATGATATAACTTATTACAAGTACAATAGAATAATTTAGAAAATATTTCTGTATTAAAATATATATTTGTGGTGTACCGAGGTTCGACTGTTTCTTCAACGTTGTTTTCAAAAATATTTTTTTGTAATGAAAGATTTTATGAGTGATAAGCTAATTATGTTAAAGTCTTCTTTCTTCCCCCTTCCTTCCTCATTCAAAAAATCATTTTCCGTCAAAATAGTCCAAATTAAGATAAATGCATGGAAAGACAGTCCGTGATCTGATCTGTTAGGAACGACATCTTTCTCTATGTTTTTTCTTTCTTGTTACCTTTGTTTGTGGTCTTTCTTCTCCTCTTCTTTCTTTATATCTGGATATTATATATGTGTGTGCATAACTATTGTGGAGGACACACTTTTTATTTCTTAATAAACATAGAAAGGTCAACATATTGTTGAATCGAACTCAAAGTACAAAACCTGTACCTAACAAGTGGTGACAGCGGTGTCTTTCTTATTATTAAGAAATTGGTCCCGTGACTTTACATCTACTTGAAATAATTTTGGAAACATCCTTTCTTAAGGATTGTCTCTGTCAATGAATGTTTAATTAATTAAGAGAACTGCCCTGCTTTTGGGAATGTGTTGATGAACAATAACACTCGTTCACATTTGAATTTACAAGAATATCCTATTTCTGATTTACTATATTGTTGTCCTTCCCGCACACATAGCAATTCTCATTCTGTTTGTCAACAATCAAAAATTGATTTATTATCTCAACAAACTTCATTAATACCTATGCCAACACTTCAATCAATATCAGAATTAGCTGAAGAACCAAAAACTTGTGATCGTATGGCTCAGTTGGATATCAAATCAAATTTACAATTATTAAGAGAGCAAGAAAAGGTGGCTCTACAATCTATTAAGAAATTAACTGAAGAAGAAATGATTCATATTGATCAATGGTTATCTGTATTACATAAAACATACGAAGATTGGGAATATCCATCATCGCATCGTGTATTTCAAGCAGTTACATATTTTAATGATGAACAAAAATTATGGTATGAACAGATAAAATTTGAAATTAATAATGATTGGTCATGCTTTTGCGATCGCTTAAAACAACATATTCAAGATCGTCAGAAGGTTCAAATTCATCCTCCATCAATGAATCATCCATTATCCGATATTAATGAAATAACATCGATGGAAAATTTTATTGATACAAAATTTACTAAATATTCTGGTAAAGGTGATGCCAAGACTTGGTTATTACAAACAATGAATCAATTTAAACAATATGGATTACGTCGTCTTGAACAAGTTCAAGCTATACCATTTTTATTAATTGATGAAGCTTATTTGTGGTACGTAGAACATATTGATTTAATCACCAGTTTCGAATTATTTAGTAAATTACTTCTTCAACAATACTCATCTACATCATCAACAGCACAAAATAATACTCCTGTAGAAATGGTTGCATCATCAATTATTGCTCCAAAATTTTTACCTACATCACATTTACAGCAAACGATTGCTGATGAAATTATTAAAAAACCAACATATTTTCGTGGCTCAAAAGACGATGTTCATGATTGGTTAGATAAATTAGAACAACGTTTTAGAATGGCAAAATGGAATGACGAAGAAAAATTACAATATATCCCAATCCATTTACAAGATGATGCATATCGATGGTGGTCACAAGCATCTACGACGATTAAATCATGGTCATCATTCACTGCAGCCGTTATAAAAGCTTTTGGATCAACAAAAGTACAAGAATTAGCATTTGAACAATTGAAATGGTACAAACAAACGGTTAATCAATCTATTATGCAATACTATGATAAAATTATTGAACTATGCAAGAAAGTTGATCCAGCTATGCCTGATTCATTAAAATTAAAATATTTAATGGCCGGTATAAGAGAATCATTAAAATTACATGTTGCATTACAAGATCCAAAAACAACTGACTCATTTTTATTACTTGCTAGAAAAATTGAAGATACATTATCATTTACCAGTACAAACAATGAAGTGCACCAGGATGAGATTAACATCAATGTTACTACAGCTCAAAAATCGTTAGAACAAACAACTACTTCACAAAAATCAAGTAAAAATATTCGACGAAATATACCTTCACACGCACAATCACGGTCACGTCCAAATTATCCACGTACTACACAAACTTCGTTTAAGCAAAATCAACGTTATGAACCTTCAAGATATTCACAATATGCAGAACGATCAAATTGCTGTTATAAGTGTGGTACTCCTGAACATTATGCTCGGGATTGTACCCGTACCCATTTCGGGTAAAGGAGGCGATGATCGGTGGTGTTGCTTCCAATACTTTATATAACAATCCATCGACACCAAATACATCTCTAATATATCTTAATGTTATTGTAAATAATAGAAAAATGAAGGTGATGATTGATACAGGTGCAAATCGATCTTTTATTTCAATTAAAGCATTAGATTCATCTTATGGTAAGCACCTTGTCAATAAATCGCATAGTCGTATAATTTTAGCTGATGGTCATACATCTCTTTCTGTTTTTGGTACAATGACTCTATCTATTACGATGGGTGATATGTTAACTTCTATTAAAGCGTTTGTTGTTAAAGAATTATGTGATGATTGTATTTTAGGCATGGATTTCATTAATAAATATAAATTAGTTATTAATACAGAAGAACAAATAGTTTCAATTAGTGATGATTATAAACGTAAAACATTGAAATTTGCTGTTAATAAAAACCATATAAGATATCCTGCACGTTTAATTAATAATGTTCGGGTTCCACCAAAGCAAACAGTAACAGTTCTTGTATCGGTAGAATTATCATCAGCTCAAGTATTATTTCGTCCATCTTTTAAACTACAACAGCGGTCGCCTGTCGTTATGTTAAATTCTGCATTAACTATTCATCATCATACATCATTTATTTCACTTCATAATCCAACAACTTACTCATATTCTTTACCAAAAGGAATTATTTTGGGAACAACAACTATTCCTACATTGGTTTTTAAAAGAAATTCAACTACTGATCATCAAATCGTACATAAAAACATTAATAATTTAATTCGACATATTGGTAATCCAGAACAGCAAGATAGAGTAAAAACTCTTCTTAATCCATATGCAAAATTATTTGACACAAGTAAATTAACAGTTGCTAGTAATGTAACACCTCATGCTATTAAAACGCTTGACCGCCCTCCACCAGTATCTAAACCATATTATTCTGCTCCAAGTAAACAAGAAGAAATGTATAAAATAGTACAAGAATTATTGCATTTCGGATTAATTCGTCCATCTGATTCTCCATATGCAGCACCAGCATTACTGGTAGCTAAGCAAGATGGTAC